TTTAATCCCCTTGGATAAGGCACTTGAATTTTCTTAGATCATGCTGAGATAACAGCATTCTGCTGTGTTCTGGCACCATAAAATCCTTGCTTATGCAAATAAAAGAAAAATATGGCCTCTCTGGGAACATACATCTCTGAATTACTTTTTTCCATAGTTTATACATTGTAGTCTCAGAATCAGTTTTTACACAGATATACCACGTTCTCTTTATGAGTCATGGCAAAAGCTCTCCCGCACCACTATTTTACATGGGCCGAGCGTACACAGACTCTTCAAAATGATGATCCTTTCACAGCCTTGGCTCAGACTGCAGCTCTCGCTGGGCAAGTGCCAACGAGTAACTGGAGTCAAACCCCTCCAACAGCACCATCTAGTGAGAAAAGGAGAAAATAAACACATGCAAATTTAAACAGTTTTCACTGCATTCTGGAAACTAACAAAAGGCCAATTCTCTCCTAATCTCCCATTACAACTGCATTTAGGTATAGCTTTCATCAAGGCTCTTTGCCTTGTGAAGTGTGGTGACAAGTAGAGAAAGATTCAGCAGCTAATTGTAAGCTTTTTGTCTAAAGTTGGAACACCACTTGGAACACATATAAACTTGCCCTTGTTTATTTTTCCAATGTTAACCTTGCATTTTTCCTGTTGTTATGAAAAACAGCAGCATTTTTTTTATGTTTTAAAACGACTGATAACATAACATCTGTTTCCTGCTGCCAGAGGGGGAGGTGATATATTATAGGCCAAGCAGCTGCAGAATAAAATAAAAATAGTATCTACATATAATCTCAACAGCTTTTTAAGTTTTATTTGCATATAATTGCAATATATTGTATGACTATTATTGAAGCATGAAGTTCTGGTTCATGAGAAAGGGCACACTCAGCTTCTACCTGTAACTTTCACCTGAGCAGGCACCCTAGTTTCAAAAAGAATCTGCTGAAATTATGTAGGTATTTAGATCTTTTACAGGGTCAGAGCAAAATACTTTGGCTATGTGGAGGAAATAAAGCAGTATAGCTCTTAACTATACTAGGTTAGATGTGAGAAAAAAGTTCTTTAAGGGCGGTGAGACATTGGCACAGGTTGCCCAAGGACGTGGTGGCTGCCCCAACCCTGGCAGTGTTCAAGGCCAGACTGGATGAAGCCTTGAGCAACCTGATCTAGTGAGGTGTCCCTGCCCATGGCAGGAGGGGTTGGGACCAGATGATCTGTAAGGTCCATTCCAACCCTTAAATTCTATGATTCTATGAACTGTGTTTTCAATGGTCTTGTTTAAATGAGTTTTTTAAGTCAGGAGGAACCGATTCTATTCTTTTCCCAGTGTGCATCCTCACATGGGCTGCAGAAGGGATTCTGTGACAACAGTAGTTTGCAGGTAACACACACTCATACACATGTGCTTTCACAGTTGAGACTCGTTTTCAAGATGAATCAGATTTACAGTGCCCATGCAGTAAGCTCATCTAATCAGACCTGCTCCAGGGGCTGTTCAGATCAGGATTACCCACATGCTAACTGTGAGCACTCATTTCCAGGCATTCAGCATGATATTGTAATTTCTTCTACTTCCAGCCCTATGGCTACCTGGTCAAAGCCTCCCCCTTGCCCTGCAAAATACAAGAAGTCCACAAATCTCCAGTAGGCAAAATTTCAAAGCATTACACTGAACATTTGGTAACACTGTATCTCAGCCTTATATTTGATGCACAACATAGCACAATTCTTTCAGAGAGAATTCTACCCTATTTAGGAAAATATGTCTAAATAAAACACAATCTGCTCTTGACAAAGCCTTGGTAAGTTTCCCTTTGGAATGCAGAGAGGGCAAGGTGGACTCAATTTTATAATCTTCAAAAGAAAGAGTTAAAGGTCTCTAAGAGTTAGTTTAATTATTTCGGTCTCACAGAGCACACACCACTCAATTTCATGGAATTACTTGAGGTCTCAAACTTCAAACTCCACATGCCTGAAGGTTCCTTCATTCACACTGCCCAGTTAAGCCCAAGCAAAAGCCTTCTTCAAGATTCCCATACTCCTCCTGATAGGTTGCTGGTACATTGCTGCTCTCACTTAGTACTAGCTTGTGAAGCAACTTGTTTACCTGTCTTTGCTTACCTACAATGACAACATTACCTACTTTAATTGACTGGCTCCAAATTAAAACTATTATTGTTTGAAAAACTAAAAGTCCTTCAATGAACACAACAGAGAAATTAATTCCTACTGCAAAGCACCAGAAAGAGCACTCTCCTAAGCTTTCACATCTCCTTACAGCACCATTTGGGCTGGAAGCTTGCACTCTGTTTTTTTTTTCTGGTTTGTGTTTTCATCCCTATATGCTGTTACACTTTATTTTATTTCTTTCTTTGCATTTTGCAGTTTCTCTTCAACCAGTGATTTCTGATTAACTCCCCCCACCAAGAACTCAGTTACATCTGTTTTGACAGGTTGTCATGGTATCTTAAAGTCAAAGTAAAATTGTTTTAAAAAGAAGAGAGTAGGAAATTTTACTAGGTAGACACCAACAGGAACCAGATTCTGACATTTGTATTTGTGTTGCAAAGAGCCCACTGAAACTGGATAGAGCAGAGAGCACACTGGCCTATCTACTGCTTTGGACTGATGGATCCCTGTAATTCCCCTGTCAGAACATGCCAATCCTGAACAAACAACCCCTTATTTCCCAAGAAATCATGATAGCAGGATTTCAATGTTAAAAATTAACTACAGTTTTTCTCATTATATAGAACAGGAACACAATTGATACGACTTAGAGAGCAAGATAGTACAGAACAGTATAAATACACAATACATACCAGATGTTACACACACTGTATGTAATCCTGGATGCACTGCATGCACATTACACTGAATGTATTACCCAGATATAGACAATACATACTGCACACAGTGTGAACAAACAAAATGAGCTGCATGATTTCACAGGGTGGGGGCAGGGAATGAAACATCACGAGTTATGTTGTCACTAGAAGCTATTTCACTGAATCAACACACCTGCAAAATATTATGATCTGTTGCAAAGATGAGTGAGACATTAGCACAAGTTAAATTCAGCCCAGAATTGTGATGAATTGGCAGAGGTATCCATAACTAGTAGTTACAGATTAAAAGAAACCAAAACAACTTAAATCTGTACAAAAAGAAAACTTCAAGACACAAAACATAATGCAGAAATAAATATATAGACACTCTTAGCTGGCAACTAATCATGTTACACCTCGGAGTTCAAATATCTTACAAGTCAGTTAAAAATGATATACCAAGCATGAAGATACTTTGTATAGAAACAGTGATTAACACTAAATTTCATATCCTATATTCTCATTCTTACAGCATTCATATCAGGTATAGAACCTCAGCATACTGAATAGACAAATTGACAAAATTTATTATAATTGTTGGGGGGGTTAAGTGAACTTTTTCCTGTTAATAGTGATAACACACATAATGATATTACTGGTGCATTGCCCCAATACCTGTTTTGAACCAACATTCAAATTGCTAGTTAGAATTTTCTCAATATAGTGACAGTGTTTTCACAAGTGAAATAATGGTCATTTATTTATAAATACAGAGAAATCAGTGATTTAGCAAGGGGTACCCCAATGCACATTTATACAACACATCTATAAAATTTTTGGATGTTTAAAATCATGCCTCTCCAACTTCAGGCTCTTCAATGAAATCTAAGCTGTCAGGACAGTAGTACTCCTCGAACATTTGTTAACACACATCTGTTGCAGTACTAGCATACTATAAACATGGTGACTGTTTTCTCTACTGAGGGGACAGAGGGTAAGACAGGTAGGACAAGTCTTACCTTGAAGTCAATGAACACATGAGTTTTCCACTTGTGAAACAAAGCTGGATATAACACCAACTAAAAGACAGAACTCTCACTTACTGTTTTCTCCTCTATGGCCAGGTGTCTGGCCTTCAGTATGGATGAAAAAAGGATTAACCCAAACAATCTGAGGGCTTCAAACTTAATTAGAACAGCTGTATATGTTGGACACAAGATACATTACAGGCCATATTAAAACTTGATTTTTGCGCTACCATGACTTGTGGTGTTTCGTGGCTTTACAGACTCATTAGGGAAAAGCAGAAAAGTCTCTGGGCAATTAAACCATAAGAAACATTCTGCATGGTATGGTATTAGCTCAGGAGATCAGAATTTGCACATTAAGAACAAACACGCATCAATGACATTAATGTCCACGTACATACCATCCAAAATAACGTCCCTGTAGCAAGAGCTGCATACTGTTCAATTGTAGAAAGCACACTGAAGATAAGGCATATCAGCACAATAAGGAAGCTGTAAATAAAAAGAAATTAAAACAATTTAATGCAGTGTAGTCAGAACCTACAGGGAGGACACACTACATGCCACTACAAATCATCTGTGCACACAGAACTCTCTTTGATATTGGATTAACCCAAAACAAAGCAGGTAACTTTTGCATGCTCCTGCTTCATGTTGAATAGTTTATTTCTCATCAGACACTGAGGTTTTGAGTTTGACATTATCAAATGAAACCACACAATAACACTAGTTTTAGCCTACTTCTAAGACTTGCTGTTTCTTAGCCCCTTGGGAAAAGAGCACTCCTAGTTCTTTCCCATTGTAAGGGCTTCTATGACTGAATCTCCATCACACAACCTCCCAACACACTTCAAATATTTGCTTTTTTGCTGTTTCAAATTCCAATAAACTGCAAAGAGAAATCCCAACTAAGCCCACACTGTCTTTTATAACCAATCTCTAAAAGGCCCCAAATACATAAAGTCTGACATTTGGCATTTGAAGCCTGTCAGATACCTAGGTAAATAAATAAATAAATAAAATTTGATAGCAGCTATCAGAGAGTGGGAACGTAAGGGTTTGTTCCCTGGTCCTCCTTGCCCAAGTGATTCCTTAGGGAGGAAGCCCTGGTACTCAATGTAAGAATAAGGACAACAAGGGACTTGCAGCAAATTCAGCCTGTAGCCCCCAGAAATCCTCTTCTCCCATCTGGGGAGCAAGGCTGCCCAGCCCTGCATCCTCTGCCTGCAGACCCCTACCCTGAGCAGCTTCAGTTGAGCCCACCACTTGCAGAACTACTCCTTCCATTAAAGGAACACAATGTATTTGGGAAGTAAAACATTAAAGACCCGAACTGGATGTTATCCACTACATATTAGACATAGGCAGCTTCCAGTTCCCAAAGAACTGCATGTTTCTTTTTAAAACATGGCATGATCAATCAAGAAGACTTAAAACATTCACTTATTAAACACAGAGCTAGTTGTTAGAGCTATTTTTCACAATTGTGTTGACACAAGTAACACCAATCCTTTGCACTCAACAGAAACTTGCAGCAAAATCCAGTAACTAAATCATCCACCCTGTCACTGATCTCTAGAACAGTTAACCATGCTTTTTTTTTCCTCAAAAAAACCCAACAATGAAAAAGAATTGATTCAATGAATAAAACTGAACTCAAGAGGAGAAATATTAAAGTAGGACATCAGTGGCTGCAAATTGGCACAGCTCAGATGAATTCATGCAGAGCCTCTATACTTTTTCACATAAGTGAGTGCTTCATTGGGTGAATCTTTTGAAAGACCAAGCACTCAAGAAAACAAAAATGTTTTAAGGTTGACATAAACTTCTCTGCTCAATGATCGCTTCAAAATACAGACCATGCACAGGTGTTTCTGATTAATCTCTAAAATCATCTCAGTTTACATTGTATCTCTAAATTTGGCCATGCTTAAGCAGAAGAAGCTATGCAGACAAGGCAGGAGAACACAAAGATGAATCAGTCATTTGAAACATAACATAAATATTCCCTAAGTGTCCAGCCCTTCTACCTGCAAGAGTCGCACAATTGCTTAAGACTGATACACATGACAACATGAACATAAATGGGTTCAGCTGCACAGAGATAATTAAGGGTCTCTGGATAAAAAGTCCAACATATGCAGAACTACCAGTTCAAAGTAAACAAGTTGCAAGGGATAGTTTAAGCTGTACTGAATACATCTTGATCAGTAACAATTACTGTATCCCTATACCCCTTAAAGTTGCAGATGTGTTAAAAATGTGTAACTTGGCCAATACATGAAACCACAAGAGGGCACCGAAGCAAAGGGAACCTAGTAAGGATTAAAGGTGAAAGTTCGTGTGCCCAAGTGACAAGAAGATAAACTTGGGGTTAATCGTTTGCCAGATCTCTTAGCTTGTTACTGTTGGAGAAATTGATAGCTGACATAAGAACTGTATCAAATGCCTGTCACTGCACTACCTACTTTTGTGAGTTTTCATGCATATGGATCTGTTTCAGTCTCAAAATCATAGAATCATACAATATCCTGAGTTGGAAGGCACCCACAAGGATCAAGGTCCAATTTCCAGCCTTGCATAGGACAGTGCCTGAGAGCATTGTCCAAACAAACGCTTCTTGAACTCTGGCATGCTTAGTGCTGTGACCACTTCCCTGGGCAGCTGTTCCCATCACCCTTTGGGTGGAGAGCCTTTTCCTAAGATCTAACCTAAACTTCTCCTGACACACCTTCATACCATTGCCTCAGGTCCTGTCACTGGTCATCAGAAAGAAGAGATCAATGTCTGCTCCTCTGCTTCCCTTCATAAAAAAGTTTGTAGATTGCTACGAGGTCTCCCCTCAGTCTCCTCTCTTCCAGGCTGAACAAACTGACCTCAGCCACTCCTAGTATGGCTTTCCTTCTAGGCTTTTCACCTTTGGTGCCCTCCTTCGAACACTCTCTAATAGCTTCGTGTCTTTCTTATATTGTGGCACCCAAAGCTGCATACAAGACTCGAGGTGAGGCTCCACCAATGCAGAGGAGAGCAGGACAATCCCCTCCCTCAATCATCTAGCAGTGCTGTGTCTGATGTGCTCCAGGGCTTGGTTGGCTCTCCTGGCTGCCATGGCACACATATGACTCATGTTCAACTTGCCATCATTAGGAGCCCCAGGTCCCTTTCCAGAGTGCTGCCCTCCAGCATCTCATTCCCCAGTCTGTACATGCATCCACTCATTTATCTTTTTTTCACCCCGGAAGAATTAAACTTATTGTTGTGCTCTTTCCAGGCTGAAGTATGAGACCCCTTCACACCCACAAATACATATTACCCCAAGGAAAACAACGATGTTTGGTCAGGTACTGCTGCTTCTCATCTGTTTCTTTGGCATTGGAGAGATGATACCCACTAGTACAGCCGTGTCAGTGGAGCATCACAGCTAAGATACCAACCCTGTTACACTGGCATTGCTATTTTGCTTGGATTAATTGGACATGAGGAACACAGGGTGCAAAATTATGACATTAAAATACAGTGTCCTACGCTGGCATCAGCCTGCTCTTTGTTGCCTTCCAACACTCAGCTCTTACCCTGGTTGGGTTTTTTTTGTACTAGTGGCTACCTCCTCCACTTCTGAAGCATAAGAAGGGAGTAAGGCATCAGGAAAAAGGAAAACAGGACGTTTGCCACTTTTTTCCCCTCTTTAAGTGGAACAAGGATCCTCAGTTACTGCCTAGACTGCAGACAAGTCCACAGGAGTTAAATAGTTAGGAACAACAGTTGCAAGGAGAGACTCTGCCTGAAACCTGAATTAGCTCATGCAAAAATCATCCTGGGGAAATTTAACTGAAAAACCTCAGAAAAGCAAACACTACAAACTTCACGTGCCAAAAATAACCTTCTCACTTTGCTATGACTGCTATCACCACATTTTCCATAAAGTTACTCACCTTGATACAGATACTAAGCATGTAAACTCTCCATCCAAGCAGTTAATATCAGACAAACTAATGGACAACTGAAACCAACCTTACAATAAGAACAGTTAGACAAAGTACTAGTAGACAGATGTATCAGGCCTATCCTAATCAACCTCATAATTCCAGATAGCTAAATTAAGAGAACTTTGTTTCAGACAAAGCCTCACCTGCATTTCAAAGACCTCTTGTCAGTGACAGACACTGGACACATTCAGGAAGTAATTTGTATCCCACGTGAAACAATTTACTGTGCAAAACATTTAGTTATTTCAACTGTTGAGAGGGTAAAGACTGTAAATATGGACATTTTAATTAGGCAAACTACAAGCAGGCTATGCATTGTAAATGTTAATCCCAAAACATCTAAACTTCACAGAACAGTCATTTACTCTTCACTGGGTTGGAACCAAGCTGCTTTATTGTAGCATAACAAGTGGAAGAACATGTTACTTAGCTAGCCTTGCTTCATGTCCTGATTTTGGCTGGCATAGAGTTAATTTTCATCTTATTAGCCATTACAGTGCTGTGTTTTGGATTTAGTACCAGAATAATGTTCACAGCACACTGATGTTTTAGCTGTTGCTAAGTAGTGCTTACTCTAAATCACAGACCTTTCAGTTTCCCATGCTCTGGCAGTGAGCAGGTGCACAAAAAGCTGAGAAGGAACATAGCCAGGACAGCTAATCTGAACTAGCCAAAGGGATATTCCATACTGTGGAATATCATGACCACTCTATAAACTGGGGGAAGTTGGCTGGGGATCACCAATTGCTGCCCAGGGATGGGCTGGGCATTGGTCAGTAGGTAGTGAACAACTGTATTGTGTATTACTTGTTTTTATTGGGTTTAATTTCTCTCTCTGTCTCTCTTTCTCTCCCTTTTATTACAATTATTATTAGTATCAGCATTCAATAGCATTGTTATTATATTTTATTGCAATTATTAAACTCTTCTTATCTCAACCTACAAATTTTACTATTTTTTCCCGCTCTCCTCCCCATTGGGAGGCAGGGCAGGGGAGGGGAGTGAGCAGGTGTCTGGTATTTAGTTGCTGGCTGGAGATAAACCACATTTCTCTGTCTCACAGTAAAAAAAATTAAAAATACCTTAGCTGTCATACAATATTGCTCAGAGTTTTAAAGATCTAAGCCAGATGAATGGTTTAACCAGTAGCATCTGCCACTCTGAAGACTTTGCTGAGCATACAGACCTATGCAGATTTCACCAGTTGCATATGAAGTAACAGAACAAGCATCCACTGTTGAATCTCCCCAACTCCACTCCAGAAAAATTTTCCTCTAAAGGACAGTCAGCAGAACACCGGAATTTCTTTAACTCTAGCAGTCAGAAAAGGCTTTATCTCCTGGAAACCACCAATCTTATCTCCTGAGACCTGTTGCTTGTTTACATTCTATGCACAAACGTGACCATCTTCAAGGAAGGAAGCACAGCAATAAAGAGTTCAGGCTTTCATCAGCTCTGATCTCACTCAGATTGTGAGGCCAAGCAAGCATTAGAGATGAGGCGACA